TTGTTGTTCAATTCTATGCTTGGAGCTGTGTTTCGGAGAGTGCAGACAAAGTGGTTGCGACGAAAAGGTGGTACGTTTGACACTTTTTCTGGGTACGCAGCCCAGGAGTGTGACGAATCGCTGATGACGTTGTTATTGTTTGGTACTATTTCCACAAGGTGCAGCTCATGCTGCGAGAAGTACGACACGGAAACGCCAAAATTGAATTCGAATTGCACCCAGACTGGACAACAATCATGCACAACCAGAAGCGGACACGACATCGCTCAAAACCCAAATTCGTTTCAGACCGAACTATGAAGGTGGAAATGCTCCCCTTTGGGGCTTCGCACAAATACTTGGCCAGAACGTTTTCTTTCCAAGGATCCGCATACATGCGAAGTGGAGACAGTCGAATTGCTGCAGGCTTCACGCGAACGTGCTACACGTACATACTCTCTACATGGCCGAGTGCGGATATTTAGCGGCACAGTTGCCCCGACAGTTTTGTAGGGATGTATTTCTAGGGTTTTCACAAGTGACTTGGGAAACCGGCTGCGACGATCGCTACGACAAATGTTGCGGATGATTTTGGACACCCCGCGGCGCTGGCAAGAGACAACACATCCAATGCCGACCAAACATTCGAGGGATGCCGACATCCACGACGCCGCGACGTTGGACGACGATCACCAAGGCGAATCTATTTGCTCGGAGCCATGGACAGATTGGATCAAGAGGGCCCCGCGTGAAATAGCATACTTCTTGGGGCGTTGCAGAAATTGACGATTGGATCATTACCCAACGCCGGAGATCATGGATACGGGCAGCACAAGCTTCGGTTGATTGTCATAAATGGACTTGCGAAGCTTTGTTCAGGGAGCCCGATTTGCACGCAGAAAACGAGCAACCAGCTCGCAGACAAGCACAACCAATTATTCCGACGGTCGGACCCCGCACGATCGATTATGTAGCTTGCCCTTCGCCATTTTCCTCTTCGACTGGCGCGGGCCTTCCTCCCGCTTCTGCGTCCTCCTCCTCATCATCATCGTCCTTCTCGTCCTACCCGTTGCATTTCTCATCTTCCTCCTCCTCCGCCTTCTCCCCATCCCTCTCCAGGCTCCCGCTCAATACTTCCTCCATACTCAAGCCTGAGAAGCTACAAGATGACGACAGGTGCAAGGATCCCGGTGACCCGCTCGGATTGCCAACGCGACGTGCGGGCCCCATGGGGAGGTGGCCCTCGCTCGAGATTTCTTCGCAGTCAGACCACTGGAGCCCAACAGTGACGACTTACAGTATTCCGATGGCCCGCCTCGGATTTGAACATGATGTGCGGGCTTCAGAGGGGAATGGCTCCCGCTTGAGACTTCCTCGCGATTCATTCACTCCCGCGTGAAACTTCTTCAACATTCAGGCCCGAGGAGCCCAAAAATGGTGATAGTTACAGGATTTTGATGACCCGCTCGGATCAGAACATGAAGTGCGGGCGGGCCCCATAGGGAGGGGGCTCCCGCGTGAGACTTCTTCGCGATTCACTCACAGAGGAGACTCCCGCCTGAGATTTCTTTATTATTCAGGCCTGAGGGGCCCAAAAGTGACGACAGTTACAGGATTGTGACGACCCGCTCGGATTAGAACATGAAGTGTGGGCCCCATGGGGAGGGGGCTCCCGCTTGAGACTTCACCGCTATTCGCTCAGAGACGAAGCTTCCTGTTGGTCGGTGATCGTGATGGGATGGCGAGAGTGACATGTGTGATATTGGTGATGGTGATGGTGAGTGCTTGTGAATGATGATGGGGCTGATGATGGTGATGGTGAGTGATGACGATGATGATGACGATTATGTTGGATGGTGACGGTGATGATGATGACGAGGATGATGATGTGATGATGGTGATGGTAAGTGATGAGGATGGTGACGATGATGTTGGATGGTGACGATGATGATACTGTTGATGATGATGGTGATGCTGCTGATGATGATGCTCTTGATGTGCGTATGATGACGGTCATGGTGGTGGTGGTGGTGGCGATGGTGATGAGTGTGCGAGCGAATGTGAGGGATGATGACAACTTTCATCGTGATGGTGAGGAGAAGGAGAGGGTGTGGCATGATGGCACGATTCATGACGATAGCACGATATCCGACGATGACATGCTGATGAGTAAGTGGGTGATGTGTGAATGTGACTGTGCGTTTGGGAGTGAGTGTGAGTGGTTGGTGATGATGATTGCCGATGTCCATGATGGAATCATGACATGATAACGAACGAGTGGGTGATGAGTGAATGAGCGAGAGAGTGAGCGGGTGGTCATGATGATCGGTGATCATGACGGGATGGTGATGGTAGGGGGAGGGCGCAAGGTGTGAGGTGAGGTTCTTGCGCGGAGGTGTGCAGAGAAAACAAGAACCCCACTTAGGATGTGGGGACGATGGGTCGACGTGGTGCGCCAGCATGTGCAGATACTTGTGGGCATTGCTGATGATGCTGATGCCTTGGCCGACTTGGCCAACACACCAACGTGGAGTGAGCTGGAGCACAGCCTTGCACATTTTCGGAACACATGCTGGCAATTTGTTTCTTCATGCTGTAGTCCATTGCGTGCTTGTGGGCGCTCCAGCCCCGCCCCGCTTAGTCTCCTCGCGTGGACACTCGCGCGGGCACTTTTCACCGTTCCAGGGGGGAGGGGATTCGGGTGCGGAGCAGCGAGCGTCGGCGAGTTCACTCGTCCATGTCGCTCGCTTGCCGCCTGCGCAAGCACGCCCAGCGTGAAACCACTGACCGACGACGACCTCCATGCTTCCTCTCAGTATGTAGGGTTCGGGCCAGCGGGCCAGGCTAGCCGTCGGTCTGTTTTGCTGGATACGCTCTCCACACTTGGAGATCTACCCCGAAAAGTTCCTAAGACGGGTTTCCTTGACGCGGCCGTTTCGCTCGAGACACTCTCCACATATGGGGAAAGTCAAGGAGTTGTGTTTAGACGTCGAAGCAACCAACGGCAGTTTCACTTGATATTTCCGCCGGACAAAGAGTGATGCCCCGAAGAGGGCCGAAGACGGTACCAAAGACGGTGCAAAGAGTGATGTGGCCCGATTGGGCCCCTGGATGCCCAAATGACCCCAAGAGCGCCCCAATAACTTGCTTTCAAGACGCCCACGAGCACGCTCAAAAGCGTCCCCATAAAGACATGAAGAAGGTTCAGCAAGGCTTCGAGCCACCTCTCGAGACAGCTTAAGCAAACAAGCACAGCGCGTCCCACATGAGCAACCGACAATGCCCCCAAAGGCCCTCGGCGCGCCCTCATCTCCAGGGCGCCGCAGCCGCAGCCTCGCGCGGCTGCAAGCACGGGCGAAGTGCTCGCGGCACTGTCTCCCCCCCCTTCGCGCTGGGCATCCGCAGGGCGCCGCGGTCCCTCTCGCGGCACGCGTTTTTTCGAACGGACGCCTTCCAAGCAGCTCAGGGAGTTCTCAACATGGCCATCAAGGTGGAAACATCCACCACGCAAGGACCGTGTGGCACATCATACAGCACGCAAGTCATGGTACACATTACGTAACACACGTGCGTACGATACACGGCGTGCAGCACGCAAATTACATTGCAAAACGCAGGCAGCAAACACGAAACGACAACACACACAAACAATGAAATGCGCATATCGCGCACTTGCGCACGAAGTTCGGCCAAAATGATATGACGTGCGTGGAGCAACAGCCACGCACACACCCCACGCTTTCCCCCCCCGCCCGCCGAGTACACGTTGCACAGTCGACAAGCGCACGGTACCCCCCCCTCCCGCCTGTGCGGCCCCCCCCCCCCCTTCCTGCCTACTCAGTGTGCACGGCACGCGCACCGTGTGTTCCGCCACTCCCGCCCGCCCAGTTCACGCTCGGCACGATCGCCGTACAACCCCGCCTCCCGCCCGCCCAGCACACGCCGTGCACACACATGCACGCACATCACCGCACGCAGCCAAGGCAACCACAGGCAACCATTTCACAGAGGCTACTAATGGCAACCAGCCGGTAGTCATGTGAAGCCATGGGAGGGCACTCCATGTGCACCAACTTCGTTTTGGGTGCAAATGCCTGCACGCGCGCGCACTCAAGTCCACAGAAGTGGTGCTTCCCGTTCTTGTCCGGTTAGGTTTGTGGGGCGATGCGCACCGGCGTCTTCGCTCGCAGTTTCGAACGCGCTCCCGTTTTGACGGCTGCTTCGCGCGCTGGTGACCACGAGGCTGTTAAGGATTTCTTTGTGGACTCGCGGGGCCTGTCGCGGTCTTGTCCTGACGGCTGCCGAATTCGTCAATTCGTTGCATGATCTCTAGTCTCTCTTTCCCTGGTATGGGCTTAGTATCGAGCGAACGAGCGAGCGATGACCAGAAGGGGGGGAGACCCAGACATGCGATGTCTTGATTTTTGCGCTACGCCCCCCCAACCCCCCCCCGGAAGTCCCGACCCTTTCCCCAGGGCCGGTTTTTCATCCTGGGCCGTTTTTTGATAGTCCCAGGGCCCTGTGAGGCTCCCCGGAGGCCGAAGACTGCCTAAAGCTGGTCGTCGTGTTTTTTTCACGACGCGAGCATGTCTGGGGCTGCTTGTGCATCGCGATCGCTCCCGATCTGGACTGGCGCCTCGCGCTCTGCCTGGCACATCGCCCCTGGGCGACAGGGCAGAAATCGGCGACTACAAAGGGCATGTTTACGCCGGTTCGGATGCAACTACTGGGAGGGCAAACTTTGACTTTGCCCTGGTCCCAAATCCGGCTGAATCCGGCTGAATCCCGCGCAATTTGGCTTCATCCCGCTTAATCCAGCTTAATCCCATTTAATCCGCGACCTAGTTTGGCGTAGCAGCCCCCCAATGGGGCTTAATCTTCCTTAATCCTTCTGACGAAAACCTCCCAGTAGTTGCCTAACGCCGGGGTGTAGTTTGCGATCGGCGCCCTGGGGGCCTGGGGGGCACGACACTGTCCTCGTCCGGCCTCCTCGGGGCACGGCGGAGAACTCCATCGGGATCCCCGCCTGCCCCCAGGGAATCCCCGGGGGTTTCGGTTGCAAGTCACCTCCCCAGGGCCCAGACGTGCATACCGCTACCCTTCCCTCGTTTTCCCCCTTTTGGGGCCTCCTTGGACGTCCTCGTCGCCACCGCTGGATTCGCCTCGAAGTTCTGGTCGGAACGCACCCTGGGAGAGGTTTTGGGAGTAGTGGTATCGGTACCTTCTGGTTTCCCCCAGATCGGGGAAGGCTTAGAAAACTTCTCAGAAGGCCCGAGGCCATCCAAGCCTTCTGAGAAGGCCTGCCCCTTCTCACTTCCCCCACAGGCTCGCCGCCGATTGGCGGCCTACGACGTTTGAGCTGGCTGGGTTCGGTAGCAAATTATTGGAACCTTGTATGTCCTCGTAATTTCGTTTTCGGAGTGCATCAGCGTGCGTTAGCGTCTGGCAGTCGATGGGGAAAGCGCCGATTTAACATCGATTAGCGTCGATTTAGTGTCGACTAGCGTCGAATTGCGTCGACTAGCGCCGAATGGCGTCGATTCGCAGGAAAGATGACATGGGATGATCCCATGAGTTGCCACATAATTGTCTTTGGCCGTTTTCGGCCTCTGGGGGCCCTCGCTGGCTCCCGGGACCGACTTCCAGAGGCCTGATTTTTACACGTGCCCCAGCTCCGCGCCCTCGCAGAGTTCTGGCGTGTGCAGGGGCACGGACCAGATGTCGGTCGCTTACCCTCGTCGCCACGGCTGGAAGCAGCTCGGAAAACTGGCGCGCCTGGATCCCGGGAGAGGACCAGAGGCCGATTCTGAGAGGCTCCCCAGATCTCCGACGGCATTTTTTTCAGCCAGCGTGCCTGCTTCCTCGACTTGGGCCCCTTAGGTCGGGCATGTCCCTGTACATGAGGAGTATTCAAGAATAGTCGAAAAATATCATGGGGAAGATTTTTGGGATTATTTTTGAATATTTATGATTTTTTGGGGGGTCTCCTATATTTTCCGTCCAAAATCCGCCTGCAGGGGGACACGCCCGACCCAAATTTGGGCCTGCAGGGCCCATCATCGGGCCCTGGGGCCACCAAGAACGGATCCCCCGGGCGGCAAGCCGGCCCCGGGGAAGGGGTCGGGGCCTCCCTCGGGCGGGTGTCGGGGGCGGCAGAGGGGGGTGATGACTAGGGGGGGGGGGATGTCATGGCGGGGGCCAGGAGATCTCCCCAGGTTTGGTGGCGCCTCTGCTGAGTTCAAGACGTCTCTGGCCTTCCCCCCTGGGCCGCGCACGTGCCGCCGGCCATGATTTGCGCGTCCCCGCTTGGACGACCGCCTCTTGGACGCCCCCGAGGGTGGCAGAAAGTGGGGGGTGAAGAAAAGGGTCCTCAAGGAGCTCTTTTCTTCACCCCCCCCAGAACAGTCGGGGCGCTGAATAAGGAACCCTTTTCGTTGGGGAGGGGCTCCGTGTGCTTGGATTTTCGATGGAAAGTCGAAGCTAAACTTCTGGAGAAGGGGCCTCGTTTGGAGAAGCAGTCCGTGCCTTCGAGGTAGAGGAGGCTTCGAAGCTGGGAGGCGCGTAGGCGCTCCCGTCCCCTCCTCCGCTCTCCTCCTCCTCCTCCTCCTCCTCCTCCTCCTCCTCCTGGAGCCTCGAGTTTCAGAAGCTTCGAAAGCTTCTCAGAAGCTTCGAAGCTTCCAAAGGTCGAGGAGGCTTCGAAAGCTTCTCGGACGGCCGGCGGCCTCCTGCGCCTTCCGAGGAGGCCCGGCCCCTCGGCCTCCCCCCTGGGGCTGCCCTCGTGGCCCCCGCGTCTGGCCAGGCCTCCGCGGCCGCCCTGTTGCTCCTTTCCCTCTCTCGTGTGCTGCTCCTCCTCCTCCTCCTCCTCCTCCTCCTCCTCCTCCTCCTCCTCCTCCTCTCCTCTCCTCCTCTCCTCCTTCTCCTCCTCCTCCTCCTCCTCCTCCTCCTCCTCCTCCTCCTCCTCCTCCTCGTGCGCTGCTTAATCGGCCGCCTCGTGGACCCTGAGCTGCCCGCCGGGCCTGGCCGTGTGCCAGGTCCGCGACAGACAAGGGTGTGAGACCCCGACGAGTGCTTCTCGGCGGCGAGCCTGGGGGGAGGGAAGTCGACGCTAAATCGACGCTAATCGATGCCAGCTCGGCGCTTTCCCCACGGACTACCAGGCTCTACCGCACGCTGGTGTACTCTGAAGACGAAATTAAGAGGACATACAAGGCTCCAATGATTTGCTACCGAACCCAGCCAGCTCAAACGCCGTAGGCCGCCAATCGGCGGCGAGCCTGGGGGGGAAGGGGGAAGAGGCAGGCCTTCTCAGAAGGCTCGGAAGTCCCCCGGCCTTCGAGAAGTCTTCTGAGCCTCCCCCGAAGGCACAAGAGAACTTATAAGAAGGCGCGAGGGCTTCTGAGGGGTCCCGCCGCCATCTGAGAAGGCCTCCTCCCTCTCGTTTCCCCCCTCGCTCGCCGCCAAGTTTCGGGCGGCTGACGGCGGTGCCCAGGTGCTGGATGCTGGACGTCGGCGTCCAGTACGGCCTCGTCAAGCTTGTCGACAGGCGAGCATGCGACGAGATGTCCCCCAGCGCCCCGCCTCCCCTGTGGGCCATCTTGCCCTTCCCTCCCGACCCTCGATCCAGGCCAGTTCTCGGGCTGAAAGGTGGTTCTCGGCGATTCCGTGGACCGTTTTCATTTGGATCTCGTTTCACAGCAACGGCAGGAGCGAAGACAGAGCGAATGATAACAAACACAACACGTAAACGAAAAACACTGTTCAGCTCGAGCCTCGATCCAGGCATCCCAGATGGGCGCGGAGCAGATAGGGTTGGAGGATCGCGCCGCATCGCCGATGCATCGGCGATGCGGCTCGATGTGGAGCCCGATTTTCTCCACGCGGACGTCGCCGATGCATCGCCGACGTCGCCGATGCATTGCCGATGCGTCGGTGATACGTCGACGATGTGGCGCGACCCTCCGACCTCATCTACTCCGACCCCATCTGGGAGGCGCCTACTCGAGGGGCGAGGCTTGTGGGAATCCTGTTGAGTCTCTTGCGTCCCCGAAGGCTTCTGGGAGCCTCCAGAGAGTCTCGAGGCGCACCCTCTGGTCCTTAAATCGGAAGTTGCGCTCCCTTCCTGCGTTCTCTGCACCGTCGCTCTCCAGCGGGCCCCACCTCGTGACGTCGGGTGGGCCGCTGGCAGCTGCCTTCTCCCCGCCCCCTCTTTTTCGGTTCCCTTGTCCTGTTCTCCCACGGAGCCCCCCTCGTCGTCCCCGACTCGGGGAAACATAGAACTCGAGTTCGCCAGAGCTCGTGTTTTTTTGTTGGGTGGGCCTGTCCGCAATCTTGAAGGTCCAGTTTTCGTAGGGTGTCTGCAGCGGAAGCTCGCGTCAAATTTCAGACTGGGTCTCTCGCTCTCCCGCCCGCCTACCCTCCTCGCTCTCCCTATGATTTTGCGGGCCTTCGCTTGAATTCAGAGGAGTGCCAGATCATCATATGTATTGGCATGGATAAGGACATCTTGCTCGTTGTGCTTGTCTCTCATGGAGAGCCCTTCGCTTTCATTTCAGCTGCGTGCTGAGCTTCCTATCTGGGGGTCCCGTTTGGGCTAGAAGGGTATCATCCCGAAGTTCAACCAACGCGGCCGTACACTCGTCTGCTGGGCTCATTGTTAACTTTCTTATCGGCTGTATCATTCCGTGCCATGCGCGTCTTCCTGCTCTTCCTTCGTTTTCAGACCTGCCCCCGAGCAGAGAAGTCAGCGAGGGTTGAGAGGAAAGCGTGCCGCTCCTCACGGTCTGCCCTAGGATTAAATCGGGCACGTCCCTCTACAGTAGACATATTCAAAAGTAGTCAACGAATAGTCAGGGGACGATGTTTTGATGATGTTTTAATTATCCGTAAGGGCTTCGCCCCCTGCCGCCGACCCCCTCTCTCGGAGAATGGGCCATGGAAGAGCGAAGTCCTGAGGCTTTGGCTTCGCCGTGAAGCAGCGTCGGGACCTGTTTGTTTTTCGACCCTGACCCTGCGGATCTGCGTGAGGGGTGTCGCCGAATTTCAGAAATGTGGCAAATCTCTTGTGTTTTTGGACCCTGACCCTACGGATCTGCGTGAGGGGTGCCGCCGAATTTCAGACCTGCCGATCTGCGTGTGGGGTGCCATCGAATTTCAGACATGTGGCAAATCCCTTGTGTTTTCGGACCCTGACCCCGCCGATCTGCGTGAGGGGTGCCACCGAACTTCAGAAACGTTGGAAATCCTGTGTCTCTTTGCTCCCTGACCCCGCCGATCTGCGTAAGGGGTGCCACCGGATTTCAGAAATGTGGTGAATCCCCTGTGTTTTTGGAGCCACCGAATATCAATAATGTTGTATGTGTTTTTGGACCCTGACCCCGCCGATCTGCGTGAGGGGTTCCACCGAATTTCAGAAATGTGGCAAACTCCTTGTGTTTTTGGACCTTGACCCCGCCGATCTGCGTGAGGGGTGCCACCGAATTTCAGAAACGTAGCAAATTCCTCGTGTTTTTGGACCCTGACCCCGCCGATCTGCGTGAGAGGTGCCACCGAATTTCAGAACAATGGCACATCCCTTGTGTTTTTGGACCCTGACCCCGCCGATCTGAGTAAGGGGTGTCACCGAATTTCAGAAATGTGGCAAATCCCATGAGTTTTTGGACCCTGACCCCGCCGATCTGCGTGAGGGGTGTGAATTCTTATCCACTCCAGCAATTCAGACAATACGATTCGGGGGTGGTAAAAATGCTTGTTTTGGGCCTTCCTCTGCCGCTGGCCCCCATTCTATCTTATTCGGATATGCCAGAAGTATGTTGGGTTGCCTGGGCGCTGGCCTGAAGCAGTATCGGAACCTCATGCGAGGACGGCTGGTGACCGTGACGTCATTTACAAGGGATCGTGGCCTCGGGGGGCACGGATTTGGCCTATTTTGGGAGGGGTCGTCGCCTCGGGGGCGCGAGTCTGGTGCAATGTACGGGGACTTTTTGCGGGGGCTCGAACCTGGCGTCATTTGCAAGGGATCGAGGCGTTGGTGACGCGAATCCGCTGTAAGTTACGAGGGATCTTGGCCTCGGGATCGCGAGTGATGTGTAATTGTTGACACTTCGCGAATCCCCACCAGCCGGGTTGGGAGCTTCGTTTCTGGCTCTTCTTCTGAGTGGCTGCCCGCGCGCTCGACCTGCTTCGCGAGCCCGCAGACTAAAAAGAATCCCCACCAGCCGTTATCCAACACAGGCGACTGGCATGCTCGCGGAGTCGCTCAACCTGAATTCCCCCCCGCCATTTTGGCGATGCAAGCTGGCTGGCGGCTCCCCCCCAGGCGAAGGCGCATTTTTTCTGAGCGGCAGCGAGGCCCGCTTCATGCAAGTCTCTCCTTCCGCTGATCTCTCGTTGTCTCTCCTCCCTCCTGTTTGCGAACTTTAGGCCGCAGCTAGTTTGTTACGACTTTCGGACGGCGTTCGGCGCTTCCGCTACGCTCGCGATCAAACAAGAATTCCACATGCCCATCCTAAAACAGCCACTCTAGCGAAGAGCACCGAGCACCGACTATCGGCATTTGTTGGTCAGCATTCCAGCAACGATGTCCAGAGGAATTGCTCTGATTGGGGGCGTGTGGGAGCACAGAGAAGCACAGGACGGCAGATGGCCGTAATACCCCAAAAGGGGACGATGGAGGAGGAATCGGAGGAGGAGGAGGAGGAGGAGGAGGAGGAGGCGGAGGAGGAGGAGGCGGAGGCGGAGGCGGAGGCGGGGGCGGAGGCGGCGGCAGAGGCGGAGGCGGGCGGCGCGGCGGCGGCGGCGGCGGCGGCGGCGGCGGCGGCGGCGGCGGCGGCGGCGGCGGAGGAGGAGGAGGAGGAGGAGGAGGAGGAGGAGGAGGAGGAGGAGGAGGAGGAGGAGGAGGAGGGGCAGGAGGAGGAGGAGGGGGAGGAGGAGGAGGAGGAGGAGGAGGAGGAGGAGGAGGAGGAGGGGAGGAGGAGGAGGAGGAGGAGGAGGAGGAGGAGGGGAGGTGGAGGGAGGAGGAGGGGAGGAGGAGGAAGAGGAGGAGGAGGAGGAGGAGGAGGAGGAGGAGGAGGAGGAGGAGGAGGAGGAGGAGGAGGAGCAGCGAGCACATGGAGAGACGCGCCGAGGACGGGACCGGGGAATAAAAGAGCGATGGGTGCAGACGAGAGGCGACATCAAACACATAACATTGGGTGGAGCAGCACGCGAGAGCCCAGCCGAAGCATCGCGGCAGCGAGGGAGCTCCACCTCATCTGGGCAGGGAAACCCCTGCCCAGGCGAGATATGAAGAAATTCAGTTAACTTCCGATGCAATCCCAGCCACTGTACCGCTGGATCCGTGACGTGGAGCCTACGGGGCATGGGGATGGGGTGCTTTCGGCCTTCGCTGGGATGACGGCCCGAAGCGAAGTTATCTCGGCGCCACCTCCGTCGCGGGTTGTCCACAAGGGCCTGCGGGTCGCAGGTAGCGTACAAGTCAGACTTAGCAGCTTTCGCCGAGAAAGATCCACACTTCGTGCAGCCAATGATCTCCCCCGCCCTATATAAGATGTGACCCCTAGCGGCCTCGGGCGGCACGAAACCCTCCGCAGGGAGCACCATGCTGGGAGGGACCGCCGTGGCCCTGCTCGGGGCCGCGAGACGGGGGCGCTTCTTCGAGCCGTCGAGGGCCTCCGTGGCCTCACGGACGATGCCCTGGGCACACGGCTCGAACCGAACCCGAGGTTTAACCCGCCTCACGAAAGGCTCCGCCAACTCTCCCAACGGCCTGGCCTGGCTCCTGGGCGCCTGGGGTCTCCCGCGCGGTTGAGGAGGAGGAGGAGGAGGAGGAGGAGGAGGAGGAGGAGGAGGAGGCGGAGGAGGAGGAGGCGGAGGAGGAGGAGGAGGAGGAGGAGGAGGAGGAGGAGGTGGAAAGAGGAGGAGGAGGAGGAGGAGGAGGAGGAGGAGGAGGAGGAGGCGGAGGAGGAGGAGGAGGAGGAGGAGGAGGAGGAGGAGGAGGAGGAGGAGGAGGAGGAGGAGGAGGAGGAGGAGGAGAGGAGGAGGAGGGAGGAGGAGGAGGAGGAGGAGGAGGAGGAGGAGGAGGAGGAGGAGGAGGAGGAGGGGAGGGGGGGGGGGGGGAGGGGGGAGGAGGAGGAGGAGGAGGTGGAGGGGAGGAGGAGGAGGAGGAGGAGGAGGAGGAGGAGGAGGAGGAGGAGGAGGAGGAGGAGGGGAGGAGGAGGAGGAGGAGAGGAGGAGGAGAGGAGGAGGAGGAGGGAGGAGGAGGAGGAGGAGGAGGAGGAGGAGGGGGGAGGGGGGGGAGGAGGAGGACGCAGGACGCAGCATATAACGTACAAGCAACGAATCGCGAGCACGCCAGAGCAAGGAAATATGGAGGGCACAACTTAAAACATAAGACGTGCCGCGTGCGAGGTCAGACCGCCATCGCACGCGCGAGAGACCCAACAGAAACTAAAACTTAGCCCCGGTTGCTGGGTGCCGCCCGTCGGCGAGCCAGTCCCTGGCTCTACGCCGGGCGGGGTTCGGGGGGCCCGAAGGGCAGACCTCCCCAAGGGCATCGATTTTGGGAGACCCGATGGCCACACGAGCCCCACACCGAATACAGAACAAATATGGCCCAGAACGCTGGACCTTATGGCCGTCGCATTCGAAGAGGATCCCACTCTCCACCGCCCCGTCGGCCGCAGCAGCAGCAGCAGCAGCAGCAGCAGCAGCAGCAGCAGCAGCAGCAGCAGCAGCCCCAGCAGCCTCCCCATCCCCTTGGCTACGCCACCCGAGCTGCTCAACAGCCAGGGCGAGGGCCTGGAGCATGGGCGGCGGCTCACATTTGGCCCCTGGCTTCAAAAGCGTCTTAACACTGGCAGGTGTCCGAGCCACGGCAAGACAACGCCTGCACTGCAGCGCGGACGAGCCAGGTGCCAGGGGGGCAGGGTCATGGGCGATAATGACGAGCTTATCGCGCCTCTCCGCCACTTCCTTGGGCAAAGGAGGGCCAGAGTCCTGAGCCTCAGGACGAGCGCAAATCAATTGCACCGCCCTCGACAAGAACTCATATGTACACTTGCACTCTTTGACGGAACGCTGGAGGGCATCGACCGCGAGTTGTGCAATAGCGACGTCCTTAGCCCCGAGTTTGGCGAAGAAATCGGCCCAAGCATTTCCCATGAAACGGTGGATCTCCTCAGCCGACGCTCCCTCGTCGACCAGCTGCTCCAAAGACCGATGCGCGGGAGTCCAGATCATCGACGGCCGCGAACCCGACCGCTCAGACAATTTAAAAATCTTCCGCCATAAAAGCGTGGCGCGCGAGGCCGCACTCAAGCTTAGAGTCCCAGCCCTGGCACTCGCGGACAAAACTAAGGTGATCGCTGACGATCGTGAGATCAGAAGGGCCCACGCGCATCGCCTCAAGGCCAGCCCACCGCTCGCCCCGAGGCACTGTTTGAAACAGTCTGGCAGTCCGCCGAACTTCGCTCGGAGGGGCCAGCCATCCTCCGTAATCTCAACCACACTCCAGCCGCACCTCGCCGCCTCGGGACACGCGCCGGCCAATCCACTGCAGTCGGTGAAAAGGAGCGGGCCCCAGGTGCCTTCCGTGAGACCCCAGAGCAGGACGGGAGGGTGGGACAGCGGCGGCGGCAGCCTAAACGGGATTTGAGGGAGGCCGTACAAGAGAGGAACGACATCCCAATCCGCCCCACCCAGAGGAGAGATTCCTTGCTCCCGAAGGGCCTGCCGCTGCTGCCACACGTCGTCCGGAAAAAGGAAACTGAGCCTCCACCTCCTCCTCCTCCTCGGCGGCGAACGCAGAAGGACAATCGTACAGCTGGTGGCCGAGTGTACCACGCGGTGCGCCACAGAAAACACATTTACCTGACGCACAGAGGCCGGCCTGGAATTTACGCTCGGGGGGCCAAAGGCCCCCGGACAGGAGCGCCCGAGCAGACCCTTGGCGAGCACCAGCTGGGAGGGACAACGCCGCGAGGCGCATCGCTCGAATCCAAATCTCCTCGGTTCCGGCAGCCTCAGGCCAGTGAAACGGGACCCTTCTCCAGAGCCAGCGCTCGACGCCGTCTCGGACCAGGGCTCGGACCTCGGACGGTGAAAACTCGTACATGGACACAGCTTCGCCACGATCCGAGATCAGAACGTGGGGCGCCGCCATGTCCCAACCGATCCTGCGTAGGGTGAGGATCACCGCAGAGATCGGTCCAAAGCACATCCGCCAGGATCCCTGCTGGCCGATCTTGTCACGAATGGCCTGCCACGCCGCGCGGAGCTGCGAAGCGGAGGTCCTGCCGTCCCACAGCCACGCCGCATAACGGGCTAGCAGCGGGCAGGTGGCATCAAAAGTGGGATCGTACATCCGATCCTTCTGTGTGCACGTGTAGACCGTAAGGGACGCAAGACCCTTACGAGCCCCTACAAGCTCACCGGCAAATGAACGAAGCTTCATGAGCGTAGAGTCGGTGAGGCCTATGACCCCAGCTCCATGGCTTCCAGACGGCATGACACCTGTACGCCACAGAGCCCGGACCTTCAACCCCCCAGCCCGCTTCAGGGCACGAAGCCTGCCACGGCGTCCCAGGACCCTCCCAAGACGTTTTCGCTCCTGGGCTCTGTGGGCGGTGCCACCCGCAAAAGAATCGTGCCCGAGGTTACGAGCAGACCGAAAAGCGGAAAGCTTGAGCATCCCCGCTTGCGCCTTGACCGCACGCGCAGCCTCGCGAGACGAGGCCAAAAAACCAGACTTAGCAGCCTGCAGTCGGAAGCCCAGGGCACGCGTGTCCCGTACAAACGCCGATACCGCATTGAAGACAATTCCAGCATGCTTGGCCTGCCGACCAATCCACTGGAAAGAAACATCGTCCATCAACCCCCGAGGGATCACAAATTGAAGCTCATGACGAATTCGCTGGAGCGGCCGTAGGAGAGTCACCTGCATAAGGGTCGTCGCATGGCAGCAGCCGGCCAGAATCCCCTGGAAGGAAACAAAAGCTTGACTGACCGAGCCGAAGCCTTTAATGCGACGAGGCTGCTGATACACGCAAACCAACATCCACGCAAGACGTAACGGGTACCCTACAGCAGCAGCCTCGGCCATCACAGCCGACAGGATGATCATCTCATAACATTTGATCATGTCTAACAGAACTGACACACAATGCTGGTCAGTGTGCCGGGCCACCTCGGCCTCCAAATTGTGAGAGAAGGCGCAGTCCACGCTGCTGCGTCCGGGGCCGGAGCCCCAGAGAAGATCACTCCGATTCCTCCCCTCCCACTCGACGGACACCTCCCGACGAACCCTCCCCCACACCCGGATAAGAGTATGCAACAGGGCAATCAAGCGGTGCTCGCCAGGCTTGTCTGGCTTGGGCAGCCGAACGAGCTCCGTCGAGATCCTAGCCGAAGGCCACATGCAGCGGAGCTCGCACCGCATAAAAAGGAGCGCTAGAGAGTGCATGGCAGCATCACTCAGGTGAAGCAGGCTGCGGGGAGCCAGGCGCATCGGGCAAACGGCCGTGCGCTCATGAAAGCTCAGCACTGCAGCTCGTACCTCGGAAGCCCCAGTGGCAGGAAGCAGAGGCCATTTGTCGGCACCAGGGGGGAGCTCCAGAGGAGGAGGAGGAGGAGGAGGAGGAGGAGGAGGAGGAGGAGATAGATAAGGAGAGGGAGAGGGGAGGTGGAGAAGCAGGAGCAGGGGGATGGGGGAGCAGATTGGAAGTGGGAGGATGCTCCAGGTGTTCCCCTGCCTGTGTCGGCCTTGGCCCTTGGGGCCTCGGCCTCTCTAGGTTGTCTTTCTGCTCCGTCTCGCGCTTATGCCTTCTCCTCCTTCTGCTGCCGGTGGTGCTGGGAAGTCACAGCTCTCCGTTGCTTCTGCCTTCCTCCTCAGCCTCCAATGCCCTCTTTGCTTCCCCTGCTGCTTCTACTCCTCATCCCCTCCTCCTCCCTTTATCCCCCCCCGATCAGATCTCCTGCCTCTCTGCTCCCCTCCCCTCTCTTTTTACTCCTGGCGTCGCCGCCGCACTCTTCGTCCTGCCTCTGCCTCTCGCGGCCGCTTGCCCACTGGCCCCCCCCTCGGCAGCGTGGCCCTGTCCGGCAGGTACTCCGACGAGGGCATCGAGACGCTGTCGCGACTGGTGAGGCAGGTCTTGTCCCAGATGGAGGCGCGCGGGGGCGACAGCGGCTTTGCCCTGAGATCCTGGCGCCAGGAGCTGTCTCGCACCCGGCGCCCTCGCCCGGCGCCCCCGCGGATCGGTGCGGCTCGAGAACTGCCGCAGATCGTTGGGGACTGCGGGGCCTCGGTCGTGTTATTCGACGGCAGCGCGGTTTTCCCCGTCGTCGGATCTCAGGGGTCTGCCTCGCTGCCTCCTGCGGCTTCTCCTCGCCATGCTCACCGAAGGCCCACGCCGACATGTTTCATTCCTTTGCCTTCACCGGGGGCCGTGCAGTCGGGTGGCGCCCCCGCGCAAGCTTGCCGGGTCCTCGCTAGGAGGGAGCAGAGGAGGAGGAGGAGGAGGAGGAGGAGGAGGAGGAGGAGGAGGAGGAGGATTATTTCGAGCGGGCGGTCGCCTGTCCCTCCATTGAATCATCGAATGGCTCATTCATGTTAGTTTTCGGGGGAGCGTAAGACCCGGGTTTACCGGGACTCGGGTTCGCCATCGTTTTTTGACGACCGCGACTCGGATTTTGACGAGGAGGAGTTTTGTGGGATGTCTGCAAAAGCGGAAAAACAGAAAAAAAAGAAAGAAGGAAAAGAACAAGAAGAGACAGGAAAGGAGAAAGCAAGAGGCGGGTAAAAAAAGACCAAAAGCACAAAAAAGCACAAAAGATAAGAGAAAATAAAAGCGGGAGGCCTCGTCAAAATGCAGGCTCGGCCTCGTCATTTTTTTGACGACCTCGTCGGGGATTTCCGAGTCCCCCGTACCCGGGTCTTACGTCTCCCCGAAGTTTGTGCTTGGAACTGACCTCCTTACACGCCTGGCCTTGTTGCCCGCGCTCTCTTATTTCTACTCTCTTTTTTCCTAAAGCTGGAATGTGCTGGGGCTCGCGATGCGGGAGGAGGAGGAGGAGGAGGAGGAGGAGGAGGAGGAGGAGGAGGAGGAGGAGGAGGAGGAGGAGGAGGAAGATGAGGGAGGAGGAGGAAGAGGAGGAGGAGGAGGAGAGCGAGGAGGCGGAGGAGAAGGAGGGAAGAGAGAGGAGGAGGAGGAGGAGGAGGAGGAGGACTAGAGGATGATGATGAGGAGGAGAACCAGTGTAGCCCAAGACTCATCAACGATGTTGGAATACACCCTCCCTCCAAGCTCCCTCTTCATAGGCCCCTACAAAGGTTCATCTCCACACAAATGGAACTGCCTCGTTGGGAGACAACCGTTTGAAGACCCTGAAGCATGCCAACACAGCATTCTCGGGGCTCCGACGCCGCGGATCAACCTGACTGTTGCGTCTTGGCGATCCTGAATCATGCCATAACACTATTCCTGGGACTTCGACAACGCGAAAAAGCGTAACTGTTGCACCCTCACAGTCGGGAGCCCTTCCCAATCACCATACCTGGTACGTTGACCGCGGGAATCCGCGAATCTCTTGCGTATTTTTAAAGCGAATATGCGCGGCGCGAAGGCGAGAGCCACACGTTGGAAACGAGCCGCCCTCAATCCGGGAAGCTCTTACATCTTTTAGTGCGAATGTGTGCGGCGCTAAGCTCAGGAGGGAAACAAACACAGACACAATTAGTCATCGACTCCCAGGAAAAGATTGGAAAATATGTGAAATTGGGGGGAAGACCCAAACCCAGAAAATATAGGAAAGTATGGGGAATCCTGTTATTTGTGTGTATTTATGTGTATGTCCTTGGGCCCCTTCACAAGCCACATTCTGAAATCCAGCCGCCCTCAATCAGTGAAGCTCTTGCAACTTATTAAAAACGAGTGTGCGCGGCGCTAAGGCGAGAGCCACACGTTGAAAACGAACCGCTCTCAATCCGGAAAGCTCTTGTATTTTTAATAAGAATGTGCGCGGCGCTAAGCCACATTTTGAAAGCGACCCACCCTCAATCCGTGAAGCTGTTGCAACTGGTTAGAACGAATGTGCGCGACGCTAATGCGAGAGGCGCATTTTGAAAACCGCCCGCCCTCAATTCGTGATGCACTTAAAAAGTTTTAAAGCGAATGTGCGTGGCGCTAAAGCAAGAGCCAACTTTTGAAAGCGACCAGCCCTCCATCCGTGAAGCTGTTATATTTCAAAGTTTCAGAGTCTTGCATGGTGAGGAAATCTCAGGCAAAACGCCCGCCCTGCCCTTTCGACCGGCCTTGGGGTGCGACCGGGAGGAGTTGTTTGTGAGGAAGAGGAATAGAGGAGCAGGAACAGGAGGAGGAGGAGGAGGAGGGGGAGGAGGAGGAGGAGGAGGAGGAGGAGGAGGAGGAGGAGGAGGAGAGGGAGGAGCAGGAGGAGGAGGAGGAGAGTTGGAGGAGAATGGCGAGTTGGATGCCCGATTTGGACCAGAGGAGGAGGAGGAGGAGGAGGAGGAGGAGGAGAAGGAGGACAAGAAGGAAGGATGAGGAGGAGAGAGGGGAAAAAGAAACGAGAATGAGGAGGCGTAGCAGAGGGGGGGAAAATGGAAGAGGAGAGGAGGATGAAGGAGGAGAGGGAGGGAAGAGGAGGGAGGGATATACGAGGGAAGGAGGGAGGCAGTGGCTAGGAGGCAAGGACGGAAGAAGGAAATGATGGAAATGAATGAAGGAAGGAAGGACGGAAGGAAGGAAGGAAGGACTGAAGGTAGGAAGGACGGACGGACGGAAGGAAGGAAGGACGGAAGGCAGGAAGGAAGGAAGGACGGAAGGACGGAAGAACGGAAGAGGATGGAAGGAAGGAAGGAAGAAGGAGGAAGGAGGAAGGAGGGAGGAGGAATGAAGAAGGAAGGCAGGAAGGAAGGTTGCAAGACGGAACGAGGAGAGGAAGGAAGGAATGACGGAAGGAAGAGAGGAAGGGAGCAAGGGAGGAATGGAGGACAGGAGGACGGGAGGAAGAGTGGGGATGATGACGATGATGATGATGATGATGATGATGATGATGATGATGATGATGATGATGATGATGATGATGATGATGATGATGATGATGATGATGATGATCAGGAGGAGGAAGAGGAGGAGGAGGAGAAGGAGGAGAGGGAGGGAAGGAGGGAGGGATAGACGGAGGGAAGGAGGGAAGGAGGGCAGGATGGCTGGAGGCAAGGACGGAAGGAAGGAATGATGGAATGAATGAAGGAAGGAAGGACGGAAGGAAGGAAGGAAGGACTGAAGGTAGGAAGGACGGACGGACGGAAGGAAGGAAGGACGGAAGGCAGGAAGGAAGGAAGGACGGAAGGACGGAAGAACGGAAGAGGATGGAAGGAAGGAAGGAAGAAGGAGGAAGGAGGAAGGAGGGAGGAGGAATGAAGAAGGAAGGCAGGAAGGAAGGTTGCAAGACGGAACGAGGAGAGGAAGGAAGGAATGACGGAAGGAAGAGAGGAAGGGAGCAAGGGAGGAATGGAGGACAGGAGGACGGGAGGAAGAGTGGGGATGATGACGATGATGTTGATGATGATGATGATGATGATGATGATGCTGCTGCTGATGATGCTGATGAGGATGAGGATGAGGATGATGTTGATGATGCTGATGCTGATGCTGATGATGATGCTTATGCTGCTGCTAATGATGATTATTATGATGCTGTTTCTGATGATGATGCTGATGCTGATGTTGATTATGATGGTACTGTTGATGATGATGATGATGCTGATGATGATGATCATTATATCCATGATTATGCTGATGATGATGATGATGATGATGCAGCTGATGATGATGTTGATGCTGCTGCTGCTGCTTCTGATGCTGCTGCTGATGATGATGATTATGCTGATGATGATGCTGACGATGCTGCTGCTGTTGCTGCTGATGGTGATGCTGATGCTGACGATGATGCTGACGATGCTGATGCTGCTGATGATGCTGATTATGATGATGATGCGGATGCTGCTGATGAGGATAACGATGATGCTGACGATGCTTATGCTGCGCTGATGATGATGCTGCGGCTCGTGATGCTGCTGCTGCTGATGATGATGATGATGAAGAATATGCATGTGATGCTGATCATGGTGATGATGACGATGCTGATGCTGACGATGCGGATGCTGATGACGCTGCTGATGTTGTTGCTGCTGATGATGATGATGCTGGTGCTCACGATGATGACGATGGTTATGCTACTGCAGTTGATGATGCTGACGGTGACTATTATGATGCTGGTGGCTATGATGATGCTGACGATGATGACGATGCTGATGATGAGGCGAATGAGCAATATGCGAGGGAGTGGTTGAGGAATCCTAATACGACTACCACTGCTTATATCAGTGGTACGACTGAGACGACGAAGCAACACAATACTACGAATACTATCAATAAGACTATTAATAAACATCAGAATCGTACTAACACTACACATGTTAATAAACTTACGGTCATCCCATTTCAAGTGCAAATATTATTCGTACGACTAATGATACCAACATTCAAACTACACGTAGTACCAACAATACTTAACACGCGTATCAATATGGTTAATAAGAAAATTTGCAAACCGAGCAATATGACTACTGATAACAACCATATGATTCATACTACTGAGACTACTACGTATACTATGAATGGTAATGCGACGAAGATGAAGAGGAGGATATGATGAGGAGGAAGTGGAGGAGGCGGAATAGGAGGAGGAGGAGGATGAGGAGGGAAGGAAGACCGTACGGAAGACAGGATGGAAGGAACACAGAGGAAGGATAGTAGGAATCATGAACAAGGACGGAGGAGGGATACAGGCAGGAAACATGGAGGACGGATGGAGGAGGAGTGAGGAAGAGGAAAGAGGAAGGATGAACGAGGACAGAGGAACGAGGAGGGGGATGAGGAGGAGGAGGAGGAGGAGGAGGAGGAGGAGGAGGTGAGAGGATGAGAGTGGAGAATGATGAGGAGGAGAAGCAGGAGAGCAGGAGGAAGGGAGCAGGGAGGAGGAGGAGGAGGAGGAGGAGGAGGTGAGGAGGGAGGAGAAGGGAGGAGGGGAGAAGAGGGGAGGAGGAGGAGGAGGATGGAGGATGAGGAGAGGAGGAGGAGGAGGAGGCGGTGGAGAGGCGGAGGAGGGGGATGAGGATCAGGAACAAGAGGAGGGGAGGAGGAGGAGGTGAGGAGGAGAGAGGAGGGAGGAGGAGGGGGGGAAGGAGGAGGAGGAGAACGGGAGGAGGAGTGAGGAGGCACGTATGAGGCGCTAATGAGAGGAGGCTGCGGCGGAGCCTTGAGGCTGACGTATGAGTGATCGGACATGTCTATGAGGAGGAAGGAGGGGTTGGAGGTGAGGAGGATGCGGAGGAGGAGGGAGGAGGACTGAGGCTGATGAGTCTTCGGCTGGCTTGCCTGTAGGCGGCTGGAGGGCTTGCGGAGGCTGCAGGCCGTGCGGCGTAGGATGGCTCTCGAGAGTGCTGTCTCCTCTTCTTCTGCTGCTGCGCTGCTGATGATGATGATGATGATGATGATGATGATGATGCTGATGCTGATGATGATGATGATGATGATGATGATGATGATGTTGATTACGATGATGCTGATGCTGATACTGATGCTGATGCTGATGCTGACGCTGCTGCTGATGATGATGGTGCTGATGATGATGATGACGATGATGATGATAATGCTGATTATGCTGATGATGATGAGGATGATGAGGATGATACTGATGATGATGATGAGGAGGAGGAGGAGCAGTTGGAGGAGGAGGAGGAGTCATAGGGAGGCAGGGAGGGAGGGAGGGAGGGAGGGAGGGAGGGAGGAGGAGAAGGAGGAATAATAATACGAACACGTATAGTAGAAATACGAACGATAAGAAGAAGAAACATACTAATAGTAAAAACAAGAATACTAGCAATAATAGTAATCATAATATTAATAATACTTAGGAGAATACGAGGGGCATCAGTACTATTTGTATCAATAATATGACTATCAAGAATACAATGATTACTTCTAATGGTAATATTTGTTTGACTGAGTATCGTTAGTACCATTACCAATACTAATCTATCATACTAATAATAACAGTAATAGTAGGAATCATAATCGTAATACTATTAACGTTACTAATGATAGTATTAGTTGCAATACTAGTAAACGTAACAATCATAATTGCACTACTCCTCCTCCTCCTACTCCTACTGCTACTAATATTCGTAATATTGATAAGAGTAGGCATACTAACAGTGATACTAGCAAGACTAATATCATTGCTAATCGTAATACGACTACTATTACTAATGATAATACTAATACTAGTATCAATAATACTGAACATAAGAGTAAGACTAATATCAGTAATGAGAACAATACTAGTAATAATCAGAGGAGGGTGAGGAAGATGATGATGATGCTGATGATGATGATGATGAGGAGGAGGAGGAGGAGGAGGAGGAGCAGGAGCAGGAGCAAGAGCAGGAGGATGAGAGGGAGGAGCAGGAGGAGGAGCAGGAGGAGGAGGAGGAGGAGGAGGAGGAGGAGGAGGAGGAGGAGGAGGCGGAGGAGGAGGAGGAGGAGGAGGAGGAGGAGGAGGAGGAGGATGAGAGAGGAACAGGGAAGCGGAGGGAGGAGGAGGGAGGAGGAGGGAGGAGGAGGGAGGAGGTGACCCCCCTCCCCCCCCTGCGCGCGCAGCTCTGCCTCCACGACACGCGCGTCTCCGTACTGGCCCACCCGGAGCAGCCGCTGCTGCGGGCGAGGCACTGCCGCGGGGCCGTAGCGTCTATGGCGCTTCGGCCTCTGAGGGGGGCCGGGGGGGCAGGCGCCTTGTGGTGGTGGTGGTGATCGCCGCCGCCGCCGCCGCCGCCGTCGTCGTGGTGGTGGTGGTGGTCGTCGTCGTCGTAGTCGTCGTCGTCATCGTCGTCGAACTTTGTCGATCCTCGAGGTTGGCAGTTCGAGGCTCGGGCGTGGCCCGCCTAGCTCTTAACTGGAAGAGGCTCGCTCTCGACCCGCAGACCAAAAAAGTTCGAGGCTCGAGGACCGATCCTCGAGGTGTTCGTCGCCACCAGTGGGCGCAGCTCGAGAAACTGGCCAGGATGGACCCTGGGAGGGGTTTGGGCACTGATTCTTCCTCGCCTTCCTCCTTCTCCGCTTCCCCCTCCCCCTTCCTCCTCCTGCTCCTCCTCCTCCTCCTCCTCCTCCTCCTCCTCCTCCTCCTCCTCCCCCTCCTCCCCCTCTTCCCCCTCTTTCTCCTTCCCCTCCACTCTCCCTTCCTCCGACGTTGTACTTCTCTTGTGACGTCGGCTCCCAGGGCTTCGGCTACTTCCCGGGCGCCAGGTTTTCACCCTGACTGGTTCTTGACGCCACGGGGCCGAGAGGCAGCCCCTGGAGGCCGAAAATGACGAAACGCTGGCCGTCGCGATCTCCTCGCGTCGCCCAGATGTGAAGGTCTTCAAAAGTGGGGTGCCTCCTCGCTCTTCCCTCCTCCTTCTCCTCCGCCTCCTCGCTCTCCCTCCTCCTCCTCCTCTTCCTCCTCCCCCTCATCTTCCTCACTCCCTCATCCTCCTCCTCCTCCTCACTCCTCTCCTCCTCCTCCTCCTACCCCTCCCCCTCCTCCTCCTCCTCCTCCTCCTCCTACCTTCCTCCTCTACTAAGCTTAACCTCCTTCTCCTTCACAATTACTCCATATGAATACTACTCTCCTCCTTCCCCTGATCACGGGTTGGGAGTGCTCGCCCCCCCCCCCCCCGCGTATTGTTTTTTACACACAGGATTCCCCGGAGTTGGGTTTTCGATTGCATTTTTTGTCAAAATGCTGCTCTCGCTGAGGCGCCGGCCTCATTTTCGGGCCCCGCTCGTTCCGAATCGTGCTCCCGCTGCAGCGCTGGCCTCATTTCCGTGCTTCCGCTCGTTCCTATTCGTGCTCCCGCTGCAGCGCTGGCCTCATTTCCGCGCTTCCGCTCGTTCCGAATCGTGCTCCCTCTGCAGCGCTGGCGTCATTTCCCGTGCCATGCCACGGCATGCAATGCAATGCTCGGTTGCGTTCCGCTGCGCGATGTCATGCCTTCAGCTGAAGCTGTGATATGCAGTGCTTAAATACCACGTCGTGCTATGCCATGCTACGCTTTGATCTTCAACGCCATGCTATGCAATGTTATGTTCGGAGCCGCTGTGCGATGCCATGCTTTGCGTTGCAAAGCTTTGTGATGCAATTCTTCACTACGCCACGCCACGCCATGCTGTGACATACTACGCTTTGCGGTGCTCTTCTACGCCATGCCGTGCTCTACAATGCATCGCGTACCCTTTCGGGATCATTGCCCTGCTCGACATCCGACTGTGCGAGTAGAGAGGGGATCTACGCCATGGTATTGGATGGGAGGGAGGGGTAGGATGTCAGATATGACGCGAGTGCACCTAGCTTGTCCCCCCCCTCCTCCCCTCCCCCTCCTTCTCCCTCCTCGTCCTCCTCCTCCTCCTCCGCCTCCTTCTTTTTGCTTGCTTGACGCTGCCATCAGTCCTGCTCCTCCTGCTTCACTTTCTCATTTTTCAAGCCGACCAGGTTCGGTGAACAGCTGGCAGGCGGCAATGGGCTGGGGTCTCTCGCAGGGCATGGCCTGTTATAGCCTCACTGCGAGGCGCGATCACCACGGTTCGGACTCGAGTTCGGACCAATAACCCGCGGACTTCGTTGGGACCTTTTCGAGCCTCTTTCTGGGCTTTTGCCGCCTCCTCGAGGCGGTCGGCAAACGAATTTAGAAAATCAGGATAGACACCGAAACGGGCACACACCTGCTGAGCCGTCCACCGCTCCCCCCAGACACGATTCACCGGCCCGTCCCCCCTCAGTCTTTGGCCCAGCAGGATTGACAAGCGAGGCTATTCGCAGACCAAGACAAGCAGCACATGCGAGGTCGTTCATCGAGGGCCTGCGTGCGGGTCCAATGACCCAGCCTTTGTATTGCGGGGCCCACCTTGGGAAAAGCCCTTCCGACGCTCTCCTGTGCTGGCGTCGGAGGGCCACCGTGAGCGACGAGGGCCGACAGGGCTGGCAGAGGCTTATGATGCCTCCCCAGGCATAGGCCCCGCAGCTGGTACAGAAAATCACGGACGACCCTCGAGCGATCGGGAAACCGTCGGGGCCGTAGACTCTAGAAATCGAAAGAGAATGTTTGGTGAGACACATGAGCATGGCCAGCTCTGGAGTTTCTCCCTCCCACAACATCGCACCGGTCGCGACTCGAAGCTTCGGGAGCTGCAGTTGTTGTGACGGTCCTGCTCCGTCGTCCTCGCGGCTGAGTTTTGCCTCCAGTCGCTGAGCCTTGTCAGTGAACGGGTCAGCATCTCGCATCTCTCTGTTGGCCCATCTGACCTCTTGCTCTCCCGCCCAACGCAGAATCTGCCCTGCAATGTGAGAGTGCCCAAATCTGCTTCTTGGCCACGTCCGTGGCCGGGTGGAGACTGGCCTCTTTCTTGACCATTTGGTCGACGCGGTCAGAGCCAAACTTTGCGAAAGCCGTCGAGCGGCCCGCATTTACGTCATTTCACGAGCAATGTGCCTTACCCTTAGTGACCGGCGGTGGCCCCGAGTCATACACATGGTGCGCTCGACTCCACAGGTGGGCGCTGCGGGAGCCTGAGTCACAGGCCTTGGCGGGGTCTAAGAAACAACCGATGGTCCCCGCACAATCGATGAACAGCCTGTGTTCACTAAGAGGGTTGACGCAGCCTGACGCTGCCATCGGGACAGCGTACGCTTCTGGGCTGTCTGGAAGGGGCCTAGCTCATGCGGCACCGCCCCATAACACCCCGCCACGACCCCCCCTCGTCGTCGACCATCGGTAGGCCCCAACCACCTCGCGAGAGCAGGGGGTCTGTGGGGTTCATAGCGGGGAGCCATCCGACAAGGTATTGTCTGACAGCGTGCCGCTGGGTGGTCTGTTGACCCACGCTATGCGAGCCTGGCTGGCACCGAGCGGGGGAGGGGCCAGCTCGAGGGGGTAGGGGGAGATGCCAGCCGCGGCTTTCTCCAGGTCCTGACCCCAGCTTTCCATCTTCAAGGCAGCGCTCCGCACGAACGGGTCGAGCGAGGAGCGGCGCTCAGCCTCGAACGCCTCGCAACAGAAGCGGCGGTGAAAAAGTTTGCCAGGTGCACTCAGGCAGAGTTTGCACAACGGGGATGGCGCGAGCCCGTGTGCATGCATCCTGGCCTGCGTCCAATGGCACTGTGAACTCAAACTACGAGCTGCCTCCTGACGGTGAGGTGTCCACATGGATTTACATGGTCCCTCGATGGCCTGCCGAATGGGCCCCCAGAACAACGGCCTGCGCCAGACCCTGGAGGAATTCCTGGAAGCAAGGGCAGACACATCAGAAACCTCCGCAGTCGCTTTACGGGCGAGCCAACTGACTTGCTTTGGGGCCAGGGTAAGGAGGTCGATGGCCTCCCCGCGGTCAGTGCGCAGGGTCTTGGCATCAATAACTGCCAGCCGAGTGCCCTAACCGACTGCGCAACCACATGGGCTGGCGGCTTGACGACTCGCCGCGAGAACCTGGCAGCCTGGAGCTCTTCGGAGGCGCCTTTGAGTACCTGCTGGGGAGTCTGGAGGGCGGGCCTGTCGTCCCAAAGCGCCTGAACCTAGAATAACATCACCTGGCTATCGTACAGGGCCGTGGGGTCCGTTTTCAGACCAGCCGCTGAGGAGTGCAAGCGGAGGCCTAAGGAAGCTGTGCCCATCTACCTGTGGAGACTATTCAGGGCTCCCCTGCGGAGCCCCCGAAGCTGCGGCCCTGTCAGGCATGTCACTGGTGCACCACAGCGCCGTTGCCTGCGGCCCTGCTCGATGCACCCAGTGTACCAGAGCCGTCCCTCTAAGGCGTCTGAGCCTCCAACTCCTCCTGGATCCTTTGCAAAGGCTAGCTCGGGCCGTGGGCTTGCGTCGCCTCCTCTGGCCACGCGTGGCGTCGGGTCCTCAGCTTTTGACGCGCCACTTCTGGGAAAACCTGGGACCGTGCCAGTCATGCGACAGACCCTTGGCAAGCTGGGCAGGATGCAATTAAGTGCGATTTATGGTCGGCGAGCACCAGCTCCAGACATCGGTACTCTTTTACAAGCTCGATTCCGGCTTCCCCAAGCTCCTTGGCCACGAAGGCGGTCGACCCTAGAGCTTTCGCGTGGGCATCGCCCACCGCGTTGCGGATGTGCACGGCTGGGTGCTGCTGCAGGATTGTTTTGGGCAGCCTAAAAAGGAGAGTGCGCGCGAAACTCGTTGCCAGCGTGCAGCCCGTCAACATTGTGCCCTCTGCCGTTAAGCTGTTACTGATGGCATTCTGGAAACTAATTGTTCTTGGCCCCCAATACACTTTACAAGCTATGCTGACCAGCCGAAGGTTCATGCCTGTGTGCTTGGCCTCGGCCATCAGATGGTAGTGTGCGATTCGCTCATAAAGTTTAGCTAAGTCCGAGAACAGCACAGTCACCTGGAAGTTATTCAGCAAAACCAGATAGCCAATCATATTGGGCTCCCAGCTCGTTCTTTCGCACGTTCGCCCCTTGGAGCCCCGACTGCCAGGTATGCCGTGGGAGGCTTCCCATGCACGTGCGATGTCCTGGCGAAGTCGCCCCCATACACGACAGAGGCTACAGACCAGGACAATGGGGCGCAGACCGTCGCCGTCGCTTCTGCTTATGAACACAATGGCGGATGGCCATCTGCTCGGCAGTGCGGGCTTGGGCGTCGGCTTGCGGAGGGGGCGCGGC